ATCAAATCCAATTATTTATAAATATTGCCTCATCCAAGCCACTATTATTAAATATTTTCTAATCTAGGACACCATTATCAAACTTTTACCCCTCTAAGCCTCTATTAAAACATATTGTCTCATCTAGGACACTATTATTACACTCATGTCAGCCACTATTAATGAATATTTTCTCATCTATTCAAACATTATTAAACTAAGACTGATCTTAAACACTATTAATAAATATTGTCTCATCTAGCCCACAATTATTAAACTCTTACTCATCTCAGACACTATTAATAAACATTCTTCCGTCTAAGCCACTTTAACTCATCTAAGCCACTATTTATAAATATTGACTCATTTAGGCCAGTATTATTAATTTTGATACATCTAAGCCACTATTAATCTCGGCTACGATTATTAATTTTTGACTCATCTCAGCCATTATAAATATTGCCTCATTTAGGCCACTATTTTTAAACTTTGAATCATGTCTGTGGCTAGTAATAAATATTGTTTCGATTAACCCAGTATTATTAAAATTTGACTCATCTAAGCCACTAGTAAGAAATATTGTATCATCTAGGCCACTCTTATTAAACCTTGATGCATTTCAGCCACTATTAATAATTATTCACGTATCTAGCCCACTATTATTACACTTTGACCCATCTCAGCCGCTATCAATAAATATTGTCTCATGTAGCCCAATATTTTTCAACTTTGACCCATCTAATGCCACTATTAATAAATATTGTCTCATCTAGGCCACTATTATTAAACTTTAACTCATCTAATCCACTATCAATAAATATTATCGTTTCCAGTGAAATTTTGAAATGTGATTCGTCTAAGCCACTATTATGAAATATTGTCTAATCTATTATTAAACTTAGACTCATCTCTGACACTATTAATAAATATTGTCTCATCTAGGACACTATTTTTAAACTTTGTATCATTTAAGCCACTGTTAATAAATATTGTCTCATTTAAGCCACTAATATTACACTTTGATTCATCTTGGCCACTGTTAATAAATATTGTCTCATCTAGACCACTCTTATTAAATGACTCATCTCAAACACTATTGACTAATAATTTCTTGTCTAGCCCACTATTATCAAACTTTGACTTATATAAGCCACTATCAACAAATATTGATCATGTAGGCCACTATTTTTAAACTTTGATTCATTGAAGCTACTGTTAGTAAATATAGTCTCACTGAGGTCAATATTATTAAACTTTGACTCATATCAGCCCCTATTAATAAATATTGTCTCATCTAGGCCGCTATTATTAAACATTAACTAATCTCAGCTACTATTAATAAATTCTGTTTGATCTAGGTCACTATTAATAAACGTTGACTCATTGAAGCCACTGTCAATAAATATTGTCTATTCTAGGTCACTCTTATTAAACTTAGACTCAGCTAAGCCACTATTAGTAAAATTTGTCTTGTCTATGACACTATTAATGAATATTCTCTCATGTAAGCCTGTATTAGTAAAATTGTTCTCATCTAGAACACTATCTTTTCATGTTGTCTTATATCAAGCAGTTTAGTAGACTGCTATTGAAAAATGAACTCACTAATCAGGAATGCTTTGCTATACTTGCTGGATGCTTATTTTTCTACAGTTGATCTCTTAATCCATTTAGATGCTTACTTTGTTTATCTTTGTAAGTCATTGAACTTCCATAGAAGGGGAACTATTAAGCAGCGACATCACTCTATTAAGGAAGGGCTTGTTTATTTCCAGGTATTTCATTTCTCCTGTAAATCCTTGAAGCGATTCATTGTTATTTTCTTTTTTAAAATTATATTGCTTTCTTTTCTGGCAAGAAAGTAGAAATGAATCCAAATATTTAATATTTGAAATCATTTCCGCTTTCTTTCCAGATTGGCTGTTTCTCTGACAATGATTCTTTGCAACTAATCAGATCTTTCTGAATCAGTCATCATCAAACTTCTTGCTATTGATTTGAGACAAACGGCAACTGCTATAGTCTGAAGGTTAGCTCGCTTGTTGCCTAAGTTACTAACAAAGACTAGTGCATTCAACTCTTCAATGGGTGCCTCATTTTCATGCCAAGCTAACTTATGTTTATTCAATAACTATTGAGACAAGAGAAAGAAAAATAATATAAAATGGAAAGATTTGATAGTAGAGTAGGAATGAAAAAAAAATGAAAAAGAGGGAAGAAAGATTCAAAATGGCTGAAAAATGGAATAAAAGCGAGAGAAGGAAAGAAAGAGAGAGACAGAAGAAAAGATTTGGATATAACGACATATCAACCTGTGTCGGATATAAATCTTACATAAGTAATAGTTGCAATGAATTAATAGATAGGTAGACTTTACACTTGAGCTAGAAAGGCAGACATATAAAAGGTTTTACACTAGAAAAGAGTCAAAAAAATAAAGGTTGATATTGGTCGGGGTAATACCTAAATGTGCAAGTATCCTTCTGGAGGGTGGCCTGCCATTTGTGATGGTGGGAGTTATTACTCCTCTGTTGGGGATTCAGTCGGTGTAATATAAGCCCTGCCAACAGTTCTGATTCGAAAAGATATATATATATATATATATATATATATATATAATATTATAGATACACACACACACACACATATATATATATATATATATATATATATATATATATATATATATATATATATATATGTATGTATGTGTCTATAATATTATAATTATAAAACAATTATTGTTCAGAGGTGAATTAGACCAGGAAACAGTTGTATTAAAAACTGCTCCATACCTGTATAAAGAAAAGAAAAAAATTAACATGCAGAACTTATAACTTTAAAAAATTAAGAGAGCGGGCAGTCATGCTCTTCCTTTACAAGCTAGCCGGTACTGACCGTAGGACGCCAGGGGGTTGGGTGGGGGGTTACAGAGAGTGAAAGACAATATTTTAGTGAGGAGGAGCGAGGAAAGGACAATAAAGGAAGAGGGTTCTGGAAGACAGCAGGATGGCGATTGTGACAGAGAAGCAAAAAAATTGAGAGGGTGTTACACATGTGAGAAGTGCGAGAAAAGAAACTGTTAGAATAGAAGTGGCCGTTGCATCTAGCTAGGTCAACAGTCAAACGGAGAGACCTAATTGCCAATCCAGTATGATGCTTAAATTCATTTGGTCGAGCACTACGAAAAAAAAAGCTCATCAGAATAGTTGTTATGAAAATATTTATAGAAATGTTAGTGAATACAAGTCACGTCGGTGAGAAAGCGACTGAATAGACAATCATGTTATTTAGTGTGGAAGCAATATATTTTTGGCAGAATTTATTACACTTATTCTTACTTGTATACACAATGCATATCAGCTTCGATTACAGCTTTGATATGTCTTCCAAAACAATTATATGCTTTAATCAGGTGTTCTTTTATGTTGACCATGGTGTTCCCATTAGTAGCATTCCGTGAACTCTTCGTATTTTGGGTATGTTTACTAATGTCTCCTTCTCAACGACACCCCAAGACGGAATAACACTATAAAGGTTAAATCAGCAGAGTTAACAGGCCTCAAGATAGTAGAGGTGAAATAATCGTGAAACTGTTTGGCAAATCATTTTTTGGGATTGACCCTGGGAAAAAAAGTGAAGAGGCACGACGTGGCCCTCATTGCTCCTGACCGCCAAGACCTTTACAGACAATGGGAACTTGCTGTGCATAAGAGCAGGTTCTTTAGTAGGGCTAGGTCACAGCAATCTGTCATTCATTCGCCCCCCCCCACTTTGGATCTTGAACAAAGTTCTCATCTAAGAAAGCACAAGACATGTTGTATTCCTCTGAGTTCTTCGTCCAGATGCAATTGGACATAAACTGCCCGCTCTTGATAACGTAGGATTTGTTTCTGATGCCTTCGTACAAAAAAAAAAAACAAAAAAAAAAGTCTGATTGATGACTTTTTCAGCTATGTCCTTCCTTGATTTTCCTGGGTGATTGCGAATGACACTCTAGACTTGCTGGACGAAGTAGACAATCCTAATAATGTCTGACTGTCGAGAAATTTTTTTCTTTTCACCACTGAAGATAAATTCTTGCTAGAGGCTTGGAGTCTCATTTCAAACACGAAGGATATGGCGGCGTTTAAGAAGCTATCAATCTCATAATCCCTGTTGTTGGCTTAACTACCATATGTAGGGGTTCTTATCGTTCCCTTTCTGTATCTGCTACAAACATATGCCACCTGCATATCCTGAGTGATTAAGATTGTGGCCACCAATTACCAATCCTCGTAGAACTTCTAATTCTCTTAGAACCACCTCATTGCTTTGATTGAATAAGTCTGGCGATAAGATACATCATTGCCTTACGCCCCTTTCTATTTTTGTATATTTACTGAATTCATTTCCTATTCTCGTGCAAGCGTTTTGCTTCCAGTATAGGTTCTGAATTATTGTAATATCCTTCCAAAAAATATTAAGGTTACCTAACAGTTCCAAAAGTTCTTTGAGACATACTTTACCAAAAGCTTTTGTATAATCTATAAAACTTAGGTATGCATTCTTTTGCATATATATTGCTGTTTTTGATATCATTCTGAGCATGCATATCGCATTACTTGTTCCAATGTCTTTAACGAGTCCACGCTGTTCTTGACCTATTTCCGGTTTAATTCTGCGGTGCGCTCCACTCATCAGAATTCGGATATGCAATGGAGTTTCCCATTCGTTTGCATCTGGATTCTAAGGCAGCGCTATAAAAAAGGATCTACTTAGTTCTTCCGGTATATCACCACTGTTGTATATTTCATTTATTATATCTATAATCTTTTCAATTCTGAAAATCCTCTAAGGCTGCCAGCATTTCTATTACGATTCCGTCTGGTCCTGCTGCTTTGTTTCTCTTCAATTTGGCAAATGCTGATTTGACTTCAGATTTTAATATTTCTGGTCCTTCGATTATTCTGTGTATTGTGGGTAAGAATACTTTCGTTGTAGAAGAGTTCTCCGATGAATTCGTTCACCATTTTGGGATTTTAAAGACCAGTATAAAAAGTGAAAGGAAGAAGACTAAAAAAAAGAAGGAGTGAGAGAAGGCAACAGAATGAAAAACATACGAACACACACACATAGAGAGAGAGAGAGAGAGAGAGAGTAAAAGCAATGAGTGAGTGTTGAAGACCAGACTGTGTAAAATCAAAATGAGGTGAACAGTTAGAAATTATATTAAGGAGGTGGGGAGATAAGAGAGTAAATGTGTGTGTGTGTGTGTGTGAGAGAGAGAGAGAGAGAGAGAGAGAGAGAGAAAGAGAGAGAGAATGAGAGAAAGAGAGAGACGAAGGGCTGAATGGCTGAATGTATAAAATGAAAAGGAGGTGAAGAGATAGAAATATTACTGTGAGAAAAAAAGTCAAAAAATTAATTTGGTGATGGAGGAAACAGATGAACAGAAAGTGGGAGAGAGAGAGAGATAAAGTGAGAAAGAGAGAAAGAGAGAGAGAGAAAGAAAAAAAAGAGAAAATATTGATCGAGAGAGAAGCGGAGCGTGTCTGACAAAGAGCCATCGAATAAAGAATTCGTTGATAAAAAAGATGATGAAATTGTGAAGAGCAAAAATAGCAAAAAAAAAAAAAAGAATAAATAAAAATAAATTTCAACTCCAAAGAAACAAAAAAAAAAGAAAAGTAAATTGCAAAACTGGAGAAAATTAAAAGAAAAGTCAAGAAGAAAAAATTGAAATAAAAATGTACCAATCATTTACGATGAATGACATACACGCATGCGCGCACATGCGCACACAAAACCGGAAGACATGTTTAAAATGGCACGGAAAGGAGAAAAACAAAAAGCGATGAACAACGAAAGAGGAAAAAATAAAGATGAATGTAACTTAGAAATTGTACATACGGCAGAAAACAAGCAAACATTAAAATAGGGACACAGTAGAAGAAATAGAAAGAGTAAGAGAGAGAGAGAGAGAGAGAGAGAGAGAGAGAGAGAGAAAGAGAGGCACAAGAAAAGACAGACGGAAAGAGAAAATGATGCAGACAGGCACCCACAGAGTACGGAAGAGTTAAGGATGTGAAGGAAAAAGAAAAAAAGGGAAGAGAGAGAAAGAGAGAGAACAGACGACAATAAAAATGAGCAGAAAAAAGGCTAAAAGAAAAAAGACGAAAAATACTGAGAAGATGGAAATAATGATAAAAATGAATAGAGAAAGAAAAGAATGAGAGAGGGAGGGGGGAGAAGGAGAAGAAAGAAAAGGATGAGTAGAGAACAGCTAAAAATAAAGATTGAAGGAGAGAAAATAAAAGAAAGGAAAAAATGATGAACATTTATAGCAAAAGCTGAATTATAAAAGGGAAAGAGAAAAATGAAAGAACGACTATAAACTAATAGGGAGTAAATATATGCAAACAAAGAGAGAGAATAAAACCTGTACATACATCGAGAGTGAGGGAGGAGAAAGAGATTGAGAAAGAGAGAAGTTCTGTATAAGATCAGCTTTATCGCGAAAGATAAGTAAAACAAGGGAAATAAATGGTTTTAAATAAATGGACCTGACGAACGAAACAAATAAAATGTCAAAGCGACTTAAGAGAATGAAATGAGAAATTGAGAGTTGTTTCAAAACGAGAAGAACGGAATGAGTATCAAATATCGAAACCAAGGATGAAAAGAAAAAAAAACAAGAAAGATGGGAAGATAAAAGAAAGAAAGAGTTAAGGCCATCCACTAGTTAAAAAGAAAGAAAGAAATAAAGAAAGAAAGAAAAAGAAAGAAAGAAAAAGATGCAATAAGGAGAGATAGGGAGAGATAGATGTGAACGAATACGTGCGAATGGATTTGAAGAAGAACGGGATTAGAAGAGACTAAAACCAAAGAAGAAGAAGAAGAAGAAGAAGAAGAAGAAGAAGAAGAAGAAGAAGAAGAAGAAGATGGAACAGAAGAGTAAAAGAAGAAGAAGAAGAAGAAGAAGAAGAAGAAGAAAGAGAAGAAGATTCGAAGAGGTTAAAACCAGAGGAGGAAGAGGAAAGAAAAGAAGATGAAGAGAAGAGAGAAGTAAAAGAATAATAAGAAGATTAAAGGAGACTAAGGCCATAGGAGAAGGAAAAAAGAAAAGAAGATGAAGAGTAAACAGAAGACGAAGAAATGTGAGAAGAAGAAGAAGAAGAAGAAGAAGAAGAAGAAGAAGAAGAAGAAGAAGAATGGGATTAGAGGAGAATAAAACCATAGGAGAAGGAAGAAAGAAAAGAAGGTGAAGAATAACAGATGATGATGAAGAAGAATGAGAGAAAGAGCAGAAAAGGGAGAAAAGAGGAAGAAATCGAAGAGGAAGAGGAAGAAGAATAAGACGAACAAAAGGAGAGAATGAAAGAGAGCGAAAGAGATAAAGAAAGAAAAAAGAAAGAAGGAACGAATGAGAAAAATAATATAAATAGAAGTAATGCAAAAAGAAGGAGAACTATGTTAAGAGAAGAATCAGAAGAGGAAGTAAAATAAAGTTAGATGAACACGAGAGAAAAGAAAAAGAAGGAAAAAAAAGAAAGAGTAATAGAAGAAGAAGAGGCCAAAATGGGAACAACAGCAATAAGTAAGTATTGCGGAGAAGACGAAAGAGAAGAAGAAAAAAACAAGCTGAAGAAAGCAGATGAGAAAAAGGAAGTGTTAAGCGTAAGGAAAAAAGATGGAGGTAAAAAAAACGCAGATAAAATGAATAATTCTAATAACAGCACGAAGAAACAGCAGGAGATTTAAAAGAGGAAGAAACATAAAAAGGAAATGCAAACGTTAAACTGAAGACGCTAAAAAATGAATGTTGAACAGATTGCAAAGGAAAAAAAAAGGCAAGAGAGAATATTAATAGATAAATAACTGTTTTAAAAAGAGACAGTAAAGAAATATAAAAATACCGAAAAAATAAAGACAAAACTAAAAAAAAAATGACGATGTCCTTAAACCGGATAAAACGGATAGATGTGGGGACGACGAATAATGGACAACAGAAAAAAAGCCCAGAATAGTCGAAATAAATAAGCTAAGTGAACAGCAAAAAGCATGGGAACTGAGTGGCAAGCCAAGACGGTATGTACACTGTATTGGGAAGAGAATTCAAGCGGACAAAATTCGTTAAGCATCTCGATGGGCGAGAAGAAGTTTTATTGAATTTCCCCGGAGATGGGCGGCTTCTTGAAATTGGAACCACAATGGCGGCCATAGTTCACACGAGACGACAAAAAGAGAAAAAAAAATGACAACCATTTATGGCAGAATACAGAGAGAAAAATATACAAATAAAAAAAATATTCAGTGTTTATAAATGTGAACGAATTTTAAATGTTTTAGTAAGTATATGAGTTTATACATACATACAAAATGGCTGGCTATTCTCATATACCGAGCACACAGTTCTGGTATAGGGTGGCTAGCCGATCTCTGTTGCAGACATCTTCTTTAGGCACTTTTATGTTTGTTCAACACTCACAATGCCCACCTGTGGTTTATACTGCAAGTATGCCGAACAGACCTTAGTTACGGTTTATGGGAGAGACCGCATAATCTGACGTGATCACCAATTTGAATAAAGCCAGTACGCTCAGCATCTCGGTCACGATGACTTGTGACTTTGTGCTACTCCAACCATAAACATAATTTCATCTAATTTCATCCACAAGGCTTGGGCCAATCTATGGTATGGTTTTGAAACACTTTCTAAAGTGATTGCCTCCACAGATCGAAGACATCAAGAAGTGACAAATTGACCCTGATGAGATTCATGTGTGTGTGTGTGTGTGTGTGTGTGTAGTTGACTGAGAAGAGTTATTGGATATGATTAAGTTGGTGGTATAATATATGTAGTATAATATATAATTAGTTTTATTTATTATTGGGATCAGTTGGGGAATATATTAGTACTTAAGATTTTTTCATCTTGTTAATAGTTAGAATGCAATTGATTACCATATAATAGATTAATATGTTTAGCGTTATTTGAGGAAGTATTATGTTCTTTTTTATTTATATTGGAAAAACCAACATTGCATATCAGTTAAAATGTCCTTTGAGAAATTGTATCCCTGACAAAAAAGTAAGTACATACATTGATTTGACGACCACATTATGAAGACGTCTTATATTCTATTTGTCGGACACAAGTTCTATCGCACAGCATTTAAAGACACATTCCAGTCTAATTTCACAATAAAGGAAAATACTTGTTGACACTCTCAATATTCTGCACCGTGAAAAGAATTTACAAAAGCTTAAGATTCTCGAGAGCCTCTGTATCAAAAGCAAGCCACCAACACTCAACAAAATTTATTACGAGTGTAGCAGCAATGTTTTAAATTGCATTTGACCAGCATTTGTTTCCATTTTGCATTTTTACCATCTCTAGTTAGCCCCCTTATATTATGGGGAGTGCAAAAAACACCATAACTACAACGGATAAATTTAAAATTTTAAAATAATTATAACAGCGCATTTAAGGCTGTTTACGAAATTCACCATCACAGCAACCATAGTAACATGAAGTCAGTCATAGCATTTCACCCCTGAGGATGACCTCGGAGGAGATCGAAAGTACTTGAGTTAACAAAAACTACGGTGCCTTCCTTGATGATTTTCAAATTAGCATCAAGAAGCTAATTAGAGAACTGGAAAGGATTATTTTAAAGATAAATATACATAATATGTCTATATTATTCAATGAAACATTCTTGAATGAAGATATGCTGCATATATATATATATATATATATATATATATATATATATATGTATGTATAAAGAAGTGATCAGGAAATTGACGTTAGATTCGACGTGGTTTTAGAACGTCTCAGCCACGACGATCAAGCAACATTAAATCGTCTCTGGCAAGGGGCGCAAGTTCAAATCCCCCACATAATGGTAAGATTACGTGTTTTGTTTTATAATTTTGTTGTACCACGTGCGAGGCTCAGAGCGAAAACGCAGGAAATTTCATTCCTCGCGTGCAGATTTCCTGCGTTTTCGCTCTGAGCCTCGCACGTGGTACAAACAAAATTATAAAACAAAACACGTAAAATCTCTCTCTCTCTCTCTCTCTCTCTCGTGTCTCATTCCTTGCTGCCAAGATGTAATCTTCAAGAACTCCCGTCTTAACCTTTGCGGTCAGACGTTTAAGAACTTCTAACCATTTCAAGCAGTCTCCACACTTAGAGAGATGCCCATCAATTCCACGCCAGTCAAAACTCTGACTTTGCCGCGCAAAATATTCTCTGACTCAGCAACCTTCGGGCACACTCTCTCTCTCTCTCTAGAACATTTCCCAAACTTCACTTACTATACTTTCAAAGTGATATTCCTCACTACATAACAAGTATCAGTAACTAACAATCTATTTTTCTCAAGCAGATAAAGGTACGCAACTTTGAATATTTGTATAAACACACTTACGTACATACACTAACGATTCAACCTCAACACCGAACATTTTTTGTACGCGATCAAACAAACAGTTTAATTCTGTGAACAAATCCAATCAACACCTGCAAACGCACCCAAACATTCACAATAACACAATA